CTTGGGCTGCTAACCTAAATTCAAACCCTACTCATTTTGACCATAATTTACTATTTCATCCCAAGTTAATGAAGCCCTCCTGGTCACTCTTTGCTTTTTCCATTGGGGACCACACGACTCCATGTGCTCCCCACATGGATATATTGTGAGGATGGGCACCTCTGGAGACCTCTTGAGCAGGAGCTGAGCGTCCCTGAATCTCATTTCCCGAAGGGATGAATTAGGATGAACTCCTCAGAAGCTTTCCCATAGGTGTTGCCCCGCAATGGGTGTTGCAGTCCTTTGAGCCTGTTCCCAGCAGTATCTGGAGGCCAGTCAGCTATAACTACCAGATGACTTTGAAGTGTAGGTGTGACCTGCTTTCTCCAGATAATTGTTTTCTGGGCTAGCATGGAGACACTGATGCAGCCCAGGGTTTTGGAATAGCTTCACCTTCGTTATTGCTGTTGTTGCCAGATGCTTTATACTGAGTGGGGAGGTCTCGTTTCCCCTTACAGCTTGTTGCATCTTGAAAGAACCTCTGACCTTAGGTGGGTATGAGCTGACTCCTCCTTTATCCTATTCTGCTGGCAACACTGGTGTTTATTTGGTGGTACCCAAAGAAGCCCAAATGTCCCAAATTGCATTGCAATGCTTTCTGAGCCTGTCTTTAACCCCTTTAATCCCTATCCTTTAATCCTTTTAAGCCCTGACTAGGGCTGCAGGGGCTATGATCTCCAGCAAGCTTCATGTGGAAAGCAAGATCTTTCAGCACTGAAGGTTGTCACAGCAGAGCATCTGTAGCATCATTAATGATTTAATTAAAGATATGTAGCAACATTAAAGGTTGGACATGATGATCTTAAAGGTCTTTTCCAACCTACTGGATTCTATGATTCTAACTCCTGATTTCTCCTGGCCCCAGGGTACATCTTTTCTCCTGATAAGGAAAACCAAGCCCTGGAAGCGGCGCTGCTGGGAAATCCCATTATTTCTTTTTGACCAGCGTGCCTGCACGTGGCTCTATCCTGCACTGAACACTGCTCCTGGTTTGAGTTTCCTTGCGGAGAACCATAGCACTTGTGTGAAGTATAACTTCTCCCTGTTAAAACAAACTGGACCTGCCCAATGCTGTTCTTGGAGCTGGTAAGATAAACAAGGATTATTCATGTGTCCTGGGAAGTGTATCCAGTCATAGAATCATGGGATGCTTTGGGTTGGAAGGGACCTTAAAGCTCCTGCAGCTCCAACTCCTGCCCCGGGCAGGGACACCTTCCACTAGAGCAGGTTGCTCCAAGCCCCTGTGTCCAACCTGGCCTTGAACACTGCCAGGGATGGGGCAGCCACAGCTTCTCTGGGCACCCTGTGCCAGCGCCTCAGCACCCTCACAGGGAAGAACTTCTGCCTAAGAGGTCATCTCCATCTCCCCTCTAGCAGGTTAAAGCCATTCCCCTATATTCTATCACTATATACCCTTGTCCAAAGCCCCTCTCCAGGTTTCTTGTCAGCCCCCTTTACATTTTCAATAATTAAAAATGAGAAAACCACACACCAAAATATAGTTTAACAACAACAGCCCCTTTTGGACGCCCTGCCTGTTCCAAACACTTCTTCTTTGCAAGCTTCCAGCTATTTCCTTAGAACAGTCTAAGAAACATAGTCAGACACTTGAAAACTGAGGCAAATTGCTAAATGAATGAAGCCCAACTCATTCACCCGTCACGAAACCTCCTCTAGTGCTGCCCGACTTTCCAAAGCCATAATTTCCTTGCCCCTTCCCATGTGCTGGAGGGGACACTCATGGGGTGAGCCCCACTCCAGCCCCACTGTGGGATCATCAGGGCTTCAAGCCCTTGCAGGGCATCTCTGTGCTTTTCTTTGCTCTGGGCCCCCACCTGCTGGAGACACCATAGTGGATTGTCCGGTGCTTGCACACCTCTCGGATGGGTCCCATTGACTCAGGAGCTCAGATGTTTTTCCATGCAGGAAGCATTCCGGCACACTGAGCATGAGGTGCTTTTGCCTTGCAGACATAGCTGATGCCCCCCTCTTCTCTCACTCCCTTGGGTGTGTATGGAGTTTGCAGGGAATGAGGGGTAGGTTGGTGGGTACCAACCAGTCTTCTTTTAGGACCAGCATCCCCAGTGGGCTGCAGACCCTTCCTCATCTGCTCCCCTCCTAACCTGGGCCCTTTCCTCACCCCTGGTTCACGCTCCAGCTCCTGCCTGCATTGAGTTCCCACCTCCCACTGTGCTTCCCACTCACTGCTGCCAGGGCTCACACCTGGCCCTACAGCCTTGCGGAGAGCAAGAGCAGGGGGATGCCCATGGAGCCACAGGAGAGAGCCCAGGATCAGCGTGGGAGCCTGGCCAGAACCCTCTTTCCAGGCAGGTCTTTGCAACCTCCCAAGGGGGCCTGGATGGGGATTGGGTGCCCAAGTGCTGGGGGTATGTTGGGAGAGCTCAGATTTCTTCAAAATGAACCTGAGGCCCCAAAACATCCCTTCCAGAGGAGCAGCCAGGATTCCTAGTTAGACACTGACACAGGGTGCCCAGAGAAGCTGTGGCTGGCCCCTCCCTGGCAGGGTTT